GTGCAAGCCCTCCTATGGGTAATGGTAAATTTCCGGTTGGAGGCAGGAGAGATTCAGCAATTTGTTCAAATATTGAAGTCTTGAATTCTAACTATGAGCAAAGTAAAATCAGTTCTTTTCCTATTGAGATATTGGTAGATAGACCAGTATGCTACAGGCTAAGAGTTGGTACGGTAAAATGGTACCGTCGTACTCGTCTAGGGTACTTTTTTAATTATGGTGGTCCTGGAGGAAACTCTTGTTGAGTTTGACTTTTATATATGTATGTTCTTTGTGGTTATGTTGTCAGAGTTACAATTGTTCCAGACTTCCAGCATGTTTTTGGAACCTAACTCGATACTTCCATCTGATTCTCCTTTGAGATACTTCAGTTTTAGTATCGCAAATGTTGACGTATTATAACAACATTTTTATACTTCGCATGATTCTTCAAGAAAGAAATATAAAACCCGATTTTTACAAAAAAAAACAAAAATCATAAAATGCTAACTTTTTTTTGATCAAAATCATAAAATGCTAACTGTTATATCAAAATTTCAAAAAAAAAAGTTGTCAAAAATTATACAGAGAGAAGTAGCGGCATTTTAAAGAGAGAGATAGAATATCTATATTAGTGGCCCCTTCTGATAGTACGGTAAGAATCTCTATAAATTAACAATTTCTATAAATTAATAAATTTCGTCAGTTTCAATTTGGGTCGGTTAAAAATTGGACACAAATCGATAATAATAAGATAACCATTTAAAAAAATTATATGTAAATATTTGGTCTAATTAAAATTATAAACTAATTATTTATATATATCGTATTTTATATAAACAAAAAATTATCATTATATTATTTGTTTTATACTTACAATGGAATTATCTTTATATTTTCCTAACACTTAATATATTTTTGATGAGATTTAGTAATATTAAATCTAAAACCACATTTAAATTCTATGCAATATATATTATATACACCAAATAATATGATAAAAAATATAAATTTCAAATTTTTAAAAATAATAATTAATGTTTATACAATAAAATCAAATAGTTTTCTTTTCTTAGAATAAATATAATTAAATTACAAAATTTAAATAAAGAAAGTAATGTAAATAAATATCTCTGTAAATGAATAAAACTCAAAAGTTGAAACTTTATTAATTTATAGAAGTTTTGTGTGTATGGTTTGTTTTTTGTTTTTGAATAAGGTTTGATTAAAATAAAGCCTTACACAGGCAACTTAGAGTTAGCGAGCAAGATGACTTAGCAATCGAATCAGTAACAGAGTTCAAGCTCCTAGGAATGAAAGAAATACAGATACATGAAAGAAAAAGATACAGTCTCGATATCCAAACTGATTCTGTAGAGTTCCACTAGATGTTTTGAGATGAGTGCATTGTTCAATACCTGATTACTATTTAATAAAATGCAGATTTTTGGAAACGTTGAGAGCTTTGGCGTGGAGCAAAGCTTCCCGGCGTGATGTTATGGTTCGTTCTATCAATATTTTTTAGACATTTATTATTGATATGACTATATATAGTAATCGTTTTTTTTTTTGTGGCAGGAAGATACCAAGGCCAAAACCTAGTTACCCAGGAGATGATGCTTTTAATCATCTTTTCTTCTTTACGATAATAAGGCTACTACGAGCTTATCATTTAAAGACTCGAACTTCTTACATGTGTAATTATGTTCGTTTTATAGAGAGAAAGGCTGCTAACATCGAAGCTTCCAACAAACCAATCAAGACCATACTGAAGTCACTTGGACCGCAATGCTGATGAGGTCGCTGCTAGAAGCGATGATTAAGGTCGCATAATCGAACCAAAAGACAATTGCAAATAGAGCAGCAGGAGTGCAGGACGCAGTTTCTTCAGAACAGAGTGGCTCAGGGTCTAAGAGCTCAGTCAAGCAACCTAGTCAAGCTGTCAAGGGCAAGTCACAACAAGCAAGGCAAGTAGCGTTCTCTCTTATCCAATAATGTAACTTGTAAAATTTAATATTTTTTTTTTGCTAAATTAGTAATAAATAGTTTACGAAAATCAGAGTCCAAAATAATTAATTTATTATCTTCTTAATTTAAGTTATTATATCTATAATCATAAGTTCGAAACTGTTTATAAATAAATTTACTTTGAAGACATTGATTTTATGTGTATACTTTTTAGTGTTTTAAATCGAAATAACGTGAAGAAGTATTCTTAGTCCATGGTTCATTAATATTTCTATATATCATGAAGTCTGGTATTCAAATTTGTGAACTCCAAAAAAATATAAATTATACAAATTATGGAGAAAAATGTTACAAAAATCTTTAGCATGGTGCATAGTATACCATCAAAGAGGGATTTTATAGAACGATTCGAAGTGGTATAGCCAGACGTATGTTCTTATAATATGGTAGAATTGTATAAGATGGTAGAATGATTCCTAATCGTTGTAATAACATAATTAACCAGACTATCAATAACATAATTAACCAGACTATCAATGTTAAAAATAATTCGAAATCAGACCGAATTATATCTCTAGTCTTTGATATTTTGCTCACTATTGACTGTTATTCGCTTATCATTGACTACAATTTATTTGGTCTTCGCACATTGGTTACACTTTCTTAGTTTAGCTCAAGTATTAATCCGTTTACTTTCCAAAATTGCCATTTGACTTCAGCACTAGTGATCGTGTAATTAATCCCAAAATTTCCGCATATAACGTTTGAATGGTAATACCAGTCAAAGATTTATGTTTCTATAAAAAAATATACATTATATTGACATATTGTTATTTCTGTTTTCTTTGTCAGAATATTCGTTTTTTTTTTGAGCAAACCAATCAGAATATTCGTTATGATTCATAATGTCTGTGACATTCATTTAAATATGAGTCAGAGTATATGTTCCAAAAATTAAATATTTGTCGCCATTAAAATGTATCTGTGTCAGTGCCTAAGTTTCCGCGTAAATCTTTATGGTTTCTTTGTCAGAATATCTATGTTACCTTAAACAACAAAACAAAGTAAACGTAATAAATATTCCTCTGTTTCATAAAAAAATAACAACATGACATCTTTTACACAAAATAAAAAAATCATATTCAATTATTAATATTTAAAATAAATAAATTTATTTATAAAGTCAATGTATCTATAATAAATATTCAATTGAAAATTACACTGAAATTTTAAAATTACATTCTTTTAGTAACAAGTAAAAAATGTTAAAGTGTTACTTAATAAGAAATAGAGGGAGTAATGATTTTGGTAGTCTCTTTTTGACATCAAAATATCTATATAAATAACAGAACGTTTTCAGTATTGAAGACTCGGGAAAAAAAAACAAAAACCAAAACCAAAACAGATCAAACTACGATGGCTCTCGTTATGAATCTCTTACTTCTTTTATTTTCAGTAGCCTTAGTCCGTTCTGATCAAACTACCACGCCTCTCAAATCCTTCAAGGTCAGTTTTTAAAAGACATCAGTTTCTCTTGTATAATAGGCTTAGTTCAACATCGTTTTTTAATAAATTTTCCTTTGTTGATCAGATTGGTGAAAATGTAACTTACGATTGCATAGATATATATAAGCAACCGGGACTTGATCACCATTTACTCAAAAACCATACAATCCAGGTGCATAGTTTCAAAATTTCATCTCCTACTTACAGTTTATTTTTATTTAGTGTTATTTACACTTGATTATATAATTACTTCGTTTTTTTTTTGGGGAAAAGATGAAACCATCAAGGACTCAATTAAATAGTCAAACTAGCAACAGCATTACACACAAAAATAAAATCAAATGTCCAGATGGAACTGTTCCTGTATTAAGAAATACCAAAGAGTTCGTCACCAACGATAACCTTTTCGCCGAGAAGTATGTCCATCCACAATCAGCAGATAGCCCTGGGACACATGTAAAACATTCACTTCCTGCTAATACCTTGGATCTAGTGTATATATATATTTATGTTATAACCGTTTCTATATGTAGATTGCTGGAGTAAGGTCGCATGCTGGTCCATATCGTGGTATACAAGCTTGGGTTGAAGCAGTTGACCTAAAAATCGAAAAGGACCAAGCCTCATATAGTCAAATATATTTAGGCAGTGGGGTGAATAAACAGATTAATTATATCTCTACGGGGTTTATGGTAGGTTTTACATTTTATTGTCTTTCTCGTCCCTTAATCCATATGATATTGTTGGTAATTATTGCAACTTTTGTTCTCAGATAAATCCAGGATTTTTTGGGGATGGACGTGTTTGGTCATATGGATTTTGGAAGGTCTGCATATAAATATATATATATGATCAACTTATTTGGTTTCCGTTGATTGTGTAGACAATATGTAAATATTTAATATGATTTTGATAGGGTAAAGATGGAAAAGGATGTTACAATACAGCTTGTTCGGGGTTTGTTCAAGTATCACAGACGATTCCTATTGTTCAACCCATTGTTATTTCGCCAGTGGAGTCTTCCCTTTTACGTCCCTTCATACATCAGGTATATATTCTTTATAAATCATGTAATTTCATGTTAACAACTCATCTGTTTTTAACTATTGATATACTTTATTCAGGATAAAATTACAGGAAATTGGTGGCTTACACATCTGGGGCCAGATGAACCCTACGGAGATATTGGTTATTGGCCAAAAGAATTGTTTAACCTTTTTGACAATGGGGCGAGTATGGTTGGAGTTGGTGGTGTGGTTCAGGCTTCGCCTTCTGGTTCAAGCCCTCCAATGGGTAATGGTAAATTTCCGGTTGGAGGCAGGAGAGATTCAGCTATTTTTGCAAACATTGATGTCTTGAATTCTGACTATGAGCAAAGTAAAATAAATTCTTTTCCTATTGAGATATTGGTAGATAGTCCAAAATGCTACGGGCTAAGAGTCGGTAAGGTAAAATGGTACCGTCGTACTCGTCTAGGGTACTTTTTCAATTACGGTGGTCCAGGAGGAAACTCTTGTGGAGTTTGACATTTATTTGTGTAATCTTTGAATTTATCATTAATAAAATGAATACTTTTAGACTATATTATTTCTGTATGATTTTGTTGTCAGAGTTACCCACGTCAAGATTTTCAGCCTTTTTTTAAGGACCTAACTCGATAACTCCTAATTCTTCCTTGTTTCAGTTGATCTCTTTGCACCATCATTTTTGCCTTCAGGTGTTTTTCTTTGTTTTAGGCACATTCTTTATTAATTTCATCTTCAGAACTATCGTTGAAACCTACCAGTGAGGTACTTTGTTGCTCCGTTAATCCTTCCTCATCATCTCTATCCGATTCCCTTATCAGGAAAATAACTAAACAATGAGTTTCTTCGATGTATAATTCGATCACTATCCGAAACTTTCTTCTTATTTTTTGCAGAAAAAAACTTTTACACCATGAAACGTTGAGGTTACCACCCACCATCAGCATTTTGTGTCAAGAGAAGCAATTTCGGACATAAAACTCGGAAACCTCATGGAATAAAAAGGAATCGGCAAATAAATGCAGCTTTAAGGTTCATATGTCCTTGATTGTATTAAGTTTTCAGTTGAAAAAGGAAACGTGTCTTATCACTAATTTTTTATTACCTACAGTTCGTATGGTGACTGGTTAATTTGTAACGTTCACAAAGATTTTCGATCATAACGATAATTATAATATATATTTACGATCATCACTTCGAACCTTCGCCGCCATAGTCGTTTGTTGGTAATAACGACAATATTCGCTTCATCTATTCAATAGAATCACAATGATTTTTTTTTTATAATAAACCTTCTCTAAAAATTCATATTTTGTTTATTCCTTAATAACTAGAAATTGATACGCATAAATTTTTCATGTTTTATAAACTAATTTTCTGCTTTACATAATTTAAATTATATATTCCATATATATCATCATATAATTAATTAAATATTTATAAGTCTTATACATCAAAACTGAACCAAATCAAATCGGATAATATTGCTATATCTGGTTATTTGTTTTTTTTTTAGTTTGGATTCAAAATGTTCGAATCGAATCGGTTAATATCGTTATTTTTGTATAAATATCCGAACATGTTTCGTATACATTAGTTTTTAGAATAATTTTAAAATTTTATACATCAAAACAGGGGCGGACCCATATTGATGAGTACGGGGTCACGTGACCCCGACTAGTTTTATAAATTTGCGCTAATGTAACAGCTTGGTCAAAATAGCTCGGTGGTTTCAGTGTGTCCCCAGTCTTTTACTTGTGTGAAGGGTTCAATGCCTCGCAACTGAAGCTTTCTAATATAACATTTTGTTTGGTGTCATATGCATATTATTTTCTGCGAATCTCATTACAAAAACACATCATTTCCACGTAATTGATTTCTTTGTGCATTTATTTTCTTTGCATGATTGTCTTTTTGTTTCTTTTTCTTTGAAACTAGTTTATACCTTTATTAATTTTTATACTAGAATCAGTTGAATTTTTTTCTAAAACAACTAAGTAATTTCTTGTGAACAAAAATGACAAACAAAAGATATAATATAGTACTTAAAATTAATAAGTAATTGTTATTTAGCTAATATACAACATTATATATAGAACAAATATTTAAATTATGAAATATGTATATAATATTGTGCCTCCGGCTAAATGAATTTCTAGATCCGCCACTGCATCAAAACAAAATCCATATGAACTTCATTTCAGACAAAACAATAAATGAATTGATTAGAATAAAAGAAATAATAATTTAGTGAAAACAATAAATGAAGTGATTATTTAGAAAATATAATAAATGAAGTGATTAGAACTAATTAAAAATAAAATGAAAATCTGTATAAATTCACTTAAAATTTGGAAAGTCTTGGAGTATATATACTTTCTGATTACTATATCACTCCCTTCATTCTTACAACAATAATATCTACCTACTTCCCTTAATATTCACATGATTTATTATTAACTTCCTTTATGTAAATATTTTCAATAATTTGGTAGTAATAATATTAACTAATATATATTCAGTTAATGTTTATAAAATAAAAAAATAAAAAATCTGTTATACACTTATTTAGTTTATAGTCATAATCTATTATATTAAAATAATTATAAAACTAAACATGATAAAATTATATTAAATGGATATAGTATATATTTCATTTTTAAAAGTATAAATATTTATGTTTAAATAATATATTATGTTTGCAAAGCGGGTTAACATAATAAATAATATAATATATGTCTATATATATATATATAGAGAGAGAGAGAGAGATTAATCTACTGTTTTTCATGTATTGGTTACACATCATCATGTTAATCTCTTGCTGTTAATATGATTACGTGGTTACGTTTCTTCCAATTATCAGATAGCTTTTTCTCTTTTTAATTGTTTTACCAAGTTTTTTCTTTACAAGAAAACAAAACCCCGGATGATGTGGTCTTGTTCTTGCTAGATTTGCTTCGTTCTTTTCTAAATGAGTGTAATTCTTTATTTCTCCGAAGTAATATCATAAATTTCTTTAGATTAAATCGAGTTTTGAAGATTGTTTGGTGGCTTTTAGATTAGAAAATGATATTTATGGTGACTTTCTTGAAAGTGGTTCAGCACATTTTTTATTCGAGAAATTTATTGACAATCTCGGGTCTTTTTATTCTAACGACTGAATAGTTGTGTGTAGTCTTTGATAATGATCATACAAATGATGATCACGATATTCTTTGAGGTGCTGGCGGTGACAAATTGCAAGGAGCGTCATTTTCACCATAAGTGTTTTATATTTATGATAAGAATGTAAATTTTCATTAACCATGTAATGAATGACACAAGGAGATCCAATGTGTTTTGATGAAATTAAATCCTATTGCATCTAATTAAATTAGCTAATCGAAGCAGTGGTGTCTCAGAGAGCCCAAAAAATAATACAAAGAAGGTTTATTCACAATCCAAAGATTATAACCAAAGCTTAGCAGTGTTCAAAAAAAAAAAAACTAACTAAAGCTTGGCTAAAATAAGACTCCAAGAACAGCCATTAAGCTTCACCATAACTGTTCTAATTCCTTCTCATTAGCAAACATGCATTTCTTTAATTGTTCTGATGTTTTACTCGTGTTAGATTGTTATTTGGGCCTTCACCATTTTATCCCTGTATACTTGTTTTGTTGGCTTTTAATATTATCATAGTCGAAACAAAAGTTTTATCCCAGCACGTGTTTGGAAGTTTGTTTGTATTTTCTGGCTTTTTGATCTTTTTTGGAAGTTTGTTTGTATTTTCTGGCTTTTTGATCATTTTTCCAGTCTAGTTACTGTACTATTTTGTTAAATCATATTTGTATGGGTATCTACTCGGCTTTATTTACTCTATTATTTTAAAAATATATTATAATACTAATTCCTTAATGGCTTTAGTACACATATTTGTTTTATGCGAGTCATTTGCAATTTTGGATGCCGTTGATCGTGGTTGTTTTTTTTTTTTTTTTGAACATTATCGTGGTTGTGTTGTTTTTTTTTGGAGAAAGCTTCTGTTTTGGCCTTAATTTAAATAATTTGTTTCATTTTCCAATCATTGTTAGCTACTTATATGACCTCCGTCTAAACAGGCATTTGATGAAGGCATGGGTAGAAGCATGTGCTCCTTAATTTACATAATTTGTTTTATTTATTTGTAATTCAACTCATAGATCGTTGAAATGCTAATAATAACTCCGTCAGTTGTTTTTTCTGAATACTGGCTCTATACCAATGACGTCTAACCTCACCTAGACAAAAGAAAGTATAAAAAAGAATAATCTCACCTAAATAAACCGGTCACATGATTGGTAAAAAAAATGGTGGGGGAAACATATTAGGAAAAGAGCTAAAATAAAGTTGAAGTAAAAAAAAAAAAAACCTAAAAATAGTAGAAATGCCTGTTTAGACGGAGGCCATTATAAGATATCGTTTATCTAACACAGAAACAGAAGCTTGTAATATGTAGCTAACCTAAATCGTTATAGTTTTTCTTTTTGTGTATATTAGATTTTTGGACCAATTTGAAACCATCCGTATTAACTCATACGGTGGCCATTATAAGATATCGTTTATTTGGGTTGCGTGGGAAAATTTATTTAAATCGAAAATCAAAAACGTGTTGGATTACAGAGTATGGGCTGTTTTTTATTTTTCTTTTCTTCTTAAGAAAGATGTACCACGTGAATGATGAGTGAACTGATGTGAATAAACTAGAAAGATAAAAGGAGGGAAATTATATAATAAATGGGGGATTTAATATTCATCCCTTTCATAGTATTGTTATGGTATAACCTATCAGTAGTTTTCTATTTTACATTCTTTGACAAGAGAGAAGAAGAAAATTGAACACAAATTTGATATATTTCTCAAGGTCTATAGATGAATTATGCGTATGTATTAGTGTATGGACCGATCAAGAGCAAGATTAATGGTATAGTCTGTATGGATAGATACATAGGTTACACAAGTTTGCATCTTACAATTATTGAATCAAAATTAAAGTACTCATGGATCGTTACATATAGATAATATATACATGTCATATCATTATAATTGCTTAAAAACTCTTTGGTCAAAAGGAAAGTGGTCGAGCCAAATAATAGTATGAAATATATATAAAAATTGTGTGTTTAGAAGCTATAGCCATTTAAAAGAAAAAGACAAGAAAATAGAGAGTTTGATGGTGGAAATGGCAAAGATAAGTTGGTGGATAATTAATGTTATAGGAGTGCTAAATGTGATTCAAAGAATTAAATCACAAACAATGATTAACTCTGAACACTACTCTAGTGATAATATCATCTCCCGTGACTATGGTCCATGATCATCAACAAAAATGTAAACGTTTAATGAAAGATGTTCCTTCTCTTGTATTTATACCCATAATTTATCATTCATTGTCTTCACAAGTTTCTCTGTTTTTCTTTCAGCTTCTTCTCTGTTTATCACCTTAACTCTTTTGTTTTCTAAGCTCTTAAAAATGTCTAAAC